TATATATATATATATATATATATATATATATATATATATATATATATATATATATATACTTCTTTCGTTTCAATTTAGATGATATAGTTTGACTTGACACAAAGTTTAAGGGAAAAAAATAAGATTTTTGAAACATGTGGTACTAAAAGTTTAAGGGCAAAGTTTTGTGGGGCCATGATATTTGTGTGCCTATAAAAGCTTCTCAATAAAGGTAAACTAGGTAAAATGAAAAGTTCAAAATTGAATTATTTCTAAATATATATAGAAATGTATCATTCTTTTTGGAATGGACTAATCATAAGAAAAGTGTCATTTAAATTAAAACAGAAAGAATATATTTTTCTACTATTATTTAAAAAGTGACTGTACAATGTCTTTTTTCCTCTTTTTTTGACACAGATGATATTTCCTTTCTTGCCAAAGGAAAGTGTACAATCACTACGAGAAGTAATTGGATTTGAAAGTGAAAGGACAACCGTCATAATAGATTTTGAGTTTAAGTCATAATAATTTAAGTTATAAAATACATTTACATCCTCGTATCATTTGTAAGAAATAATAAGTAAAATTTTAAAGTAAATCTCAATGGTAATATGGTAAAACTAACAACAAATGCTACACTATTCAATATAAGTACATGCATTTTGTCCATATCCTCTCTTATACTTTTTGTTTTCGTTTTTACTTTTCTTGGTGGTGAAGGTAACGTGGAAATTTGCGATGAAAACATGCTTAGAAGATATAACTTGTCTTGAGACTTAATATTTGATTTACATCATTTGATAGTTGCCGTTACCTAATCCCTAATAATAAAGTAACAATATCCACCCAAGCCTAATCATGTTCATAATCTAACTACACTCAAACTTCTCTATAACAGTTTCGTTTGTTCCGAATATTTTTGAATATTATAGCAAGTGCTATTATAGAGAACATATATTATAACATATTATGAAATTTGGTTCCGGAAAAGCTTGGCTTTTATAGTGAGTTGTTGTTATATAGGGATATTGTTATAGAGAGGTTTGATTATATGCTATGCCAAACCCTTATCTCATGTCTCCTGTATTTCAAAGAATAAAGAGTAAATATAAAATCCACTAGGATTCTAATTAATTAATTTATTAGAATGTTCTAAACTAAATCATAGTCCTAATTCTTTAGTCAAAACGCTCGAGTTACTTAACTTAGTTAATACTGTTTCTTTAATCCCTCCTCAAGCTCCAACTACCTCCATTAGATATCCTTTTTGAAGTGGTCATTAAATTAATACAATGACTCCTATAAGGATCTAATATTGAAATTAAAGGTTGAATAGAGTAGGACAATTTTAATGATAAGCCAAAGTGTGGATAGAAGAATAAGCTCCCGTTTAGTTATAGATTTTGGTTATATTTTTTCAAAAATAAAATTTGTTTATGAAATATGATAATGTTTGCGGAAAAAAAATTGAAACAAAAATTCTAACTTCCCAAACACTGGTTTATTGTAACAGCCCAATCCGCTAGTGATATTGTCCACTATGGGCCTAGGACCAGAGTCAGAGTTCAACTGCGCTTGGGAAAATCCCGGTTAGACGGGGCAAACCTCAGTGCTGAGCCTAGGTGAATCTTATGCGGTGGGGCAAACCTCAGCGAGGATGCTGAGTCAATAAGTGGGGATGTATGTAACACCCAGACTTTAGACAGAATCCCACATCGGCAAAACACAAGAGGGATACTGGGTATATAAGAACAAGCCTTAGATCCTAGTGTCGCGGTTTAAACCCGTGAAGGCTTAGGCCAGAGCGGACAATATCACTAGCGGGCTGGGCTGTTATATTTATAACAGTATTGGGATGAAAATTTTTCTTCCACTCACAAAATTTCAACTTTTCTTCAAATAAAATACATATCCAAACACAACTTCAACTTTCCGAAATTATATTTCAATACAACTTCAAAAACTTTTTTTTTTTTCAAGTTTGAACTAAATCTATATCCAAATTCTAGTTAAATTATTCGAAAAGAGTTTCATCAAGGCTGATAAAGTTTCTATATAACTTTATAACAAGTCAATTTTTCTTGAAAATATATAGGGGTCAAGTATCACAATTTTTCTTGCCTATCTGGACCTACTTCCTCAATCAATCAGGTATACTAAACAAGTACATGACATTTGTCACTGTAGTGCTTGATTAAAGTTTTTATCACATTAGCCAAGGGAGATGAACATTCTGACATTTGTATAGCATTTCTTGAGAACTTAATTTTCATTCTGGGTTAGCTTTCTTTACATGTAAATGAA